CAGCCCTGGCTCAGCCCGGCCCCGGGCAGAAAGCTGGTTAGTGCTTTGGGAACCGTCCCGGGGAACAGCGGACAAGGCGTTTGCCTTCCTCTTCCTCCCATTGCCCATTGCTCCCGAGGCTCTGCTCCTGGCATGGTGCTTTTCCGAGCTGAAACCGCCACGGGTTTGCCCGGTTGTTTGACAAGACCTCACCGAGGAGTGGCAGAAGTTCTGGCTTTTCCATGTTTCTCTGTACACGAAGGAAACGTGAACATAGATCCCACACGAGCACTCGCATTGCTCCAGTAATTGAAACGCTTGTCAGAAGGGACGTCCCTGAGAATTCATCTCCAAACAACAATAATAATAAAGAAGACAAAGGAAAATCCACGGCATCAATAAGCCCTGCCGAGTGCCTGTCAGAAGCCTGAAGAATGATTCTGATGGATAACAAAACGAAACAGTAAATATACTGTGTGCTTGATGATTTTTAAAAAAGATGGTTTCCTTTTATTCCCATCTAAAGCTCTTCTTGGAAAGAGCAGTTACAACACAAGGGTAACAGTCCGCCGTTCCCTGGTGGCTGTTCTGGGTTTAAACTGCTTTGGGGAGGCAGCACGATGCATCTGACCACGGCAAAGGCAAAGCTGCACCAGCCCCGCTGCACAAAGCAAGGCAACAGCAGCAGCTGCTCTTCTGGGCGACGCCTGCATTTCCCGGAATTAACTGAAGATCAAACCAAACCCATCTGTGTTGCTGCCTGTCGAAGTCAGCGTGGAGATTCGGAAAGTGTAGTGGCTCCTTAACCAGGCCAGAGCCCGCAGAAGTTGCAGAAGAATGCCGCTGTTTCTTGTTATTAAAATTCAGCACGTTGGCTTCCTTTAACGAGTCTTGGCAATTAAACCGCTGGCGGCCCAGCCTGGCTGCCTCTGCGCTGCGCCTCTTCAGATTATTGCAGCAGTGCAGGCACGACCTGCTTTTTAAAGCATGAACTGTGTTTGTCACACTTTGGCCCATATATTTCCGTCTGAATTAGGGTGACCGGGGCGGGAAGGAACATTGCGGCAGAGGCACGGGGGGAGGCAGCCCCGCTCCTGCAGCCGAAGGCTCTGATCTGCCAGGGCTCCTCTTCCTCGCTGGCGAAGCAACCAGGGAGAGCGTTGGCATCGGCATTGGCTGGGCACTGCGGTGCTGGTGCTGCAGCCAGGGCTCAGCCTGACCACTGGTGCTGGTGCCCGGCACTGCTTTTGAGGGAAAAGCCAACCCTTTCCCTGAAAGATGGCTTTTCAGGTTCATCCATGAATCTAATTCCTCTCCAAGCCCGGGCGATCATTCCGTCGATTAATCACCCCTCATTTCTATTCCTTTATTCTCTCTTTTTTTGGAGTGGGTTCTTACAGGCCAGCTGTGGGTTTAAAGGTCTTTTAAAGTCTCTCGGTCTTGTTCCATTTTTGAGGCAACAGTGAAACGTGAACCCTCCTGGCACCCTCCTCTGCAGTGCTGCCTAACTTCTGAAATTCATTATGCTTTAATGAGAAGAAATTAATTTGATTCTGATACATGGGTGGTGTTACCTTGCTCTGGGTTTCAGAGGTTAATAAAACTTGACTACATTAATATGAATACCTGAAGGACAAGAAAGATATTTCAGCTCTTAAAAAATAATGGTCAGGGGGGCACTTTGCAACATCTGTCCTGTTTTAGGTTTCATTTGTTCTCTTCTCTGTCCCTGAAGGCTGGTTGGGTCAGCCTCGAGGGCTCTGCAGCTGTTCTGGCAGGGACAAGGCAGGAGCTGCAATGGGTGAGATGTGGAAGTAGGGGAAGATACTTTAGGGGAACATAAGATTTTCCTGTAGGGCTTTAATATAAGATACACCTGTCCTGTTGTGCCTAAGACGTGCCTCATTTTAGGGTGTCTGAGCTGATACTGGCTACAGTCTCTAAAGCTGTAAAAGCAATATAATTTTGTAATTGTGACTTCAATTAGCAATGGGGAGAAGGGGATTTAGCCATGATATGAATCTGGATAAGCTAAACTGTCAAAGTCTTGACAAGCACGTGCGACTGAAACAACCTGCTTGTAAGGAGAAGCAGTGGTGGCGTAGGAGGCTTTTTGTCTTTGGTTCTGTGTTCTCGCGCCCATTGGCCCGAGAGCGCTGCATCTTTGCCTGGAAGGTAGAAAGCCTCTGCCTGGTCTCACCTTGAAGAAGGTCATAGTGGCTCCATCCTTCACTGCTCCGTACTCGATTTTTGTCTGCTTTGCCAAGTCATCTGCCGAGTCGATGGGGGATTCCATCCTCTCCACCGTCAGGAAGGCGGCAAGGTTGGCCGTATAGGACGAGATGATAATTAGGGTGAAGAACCACCATATGCCACCAATGATCCGTGTAGACAGTGCTTTGGGCATCAGCTCAGAGCCTGGGGTGGGAGAGGGGGAAGGAGAAGGAGGGAAGAGGAAACAGAGAGAAAGAACCAGTTTTATATATACGTATGTAGGTTATATCCATACATATGTATATAAGAAAATGATTAGATTTCACAGTCTTAACTGTAACAGCTACGCAATTAAAGCCAACTGGTTTTGAGGCGAATTACCCAGACATCTTGCATGCAAGGAAATCGGTGGGGTTTTTGTAGCATTTGCAGAAAACCCCTCTCCCTTTATTGCTGACCTTGGGTACAGTGCACAATTTACAGGAAACATTCGAACTGAAGTAATTAACTGGGCTGCTTTTAGGAGATTTAAATAGCAAGCCTTTTATGAACTTTTATGAGTGTTTTGTTCTGCCATTTAAAAAGTGCTTTGCTTTTATATGGATTACTTTTCAAAGGACTCACTCTAGGGAGTGTGTTCAAATACACAAGGTTTAAAAAAAAAAAAATCAAATGGGGAGAGAAAGGATCTATCAGGGTCCAGTGCTTTGAGTACTGGTTAGAAGTAGGGAAGCAGGAGATGCTACAGCATAAAAGGTGTAACAGGTCTGGAATGACTTTTATCAAGCAGACATGAAAGACTAAATGGGTTGTGCTATTTTTGTAATTGCCCGAGACACCTTTTAAAGCCAGGAAAGAGCTTTGGGTTTGAAACAACTGTGTTCAGAGGATATATCCAGCCTGGAATTTGCAACAAAGATTGGGCTTTGCAAAGCGATTTGAAGCAGCGTGGCATCAAAGCGTGGCATGGAGCGTAGCTTTTCTGCTGTCCGAGTGCAGCAAGGAGGCACCGGGAAGCCGAGGAAGGAGCTTTGGGTATCGAGGGCTGCTTCGCATCCTCTCAAGATCCTGCGTCTTTCCCATTCCATCTCTTGCCCTTTGATGCGTTGGACAGTGTGACATCAGTCTGGCTTTGAAATATTTTTCTTCTTAGATGCAGAATAGAGTTAAAAAGAATACAGCTCTTTTCATTTATCAGCATCTGATAAGAGGATGATTCATCCTGCTAAACCCTCTTGCTGGGAACTGTCACTGTCCATCAGGGCAGCCGAGATCTGGGCAGAATCTCTATTACAGACTGCAGCGGTGGCAGCAGGGGCGCTGTGCATGCCACCACGCCGGTGCTGTGATTCTTCTGCTCTCTGGGTATAACTACCGATACACGGTAAATTAAAGTGTGACAGATGTTTGACATTTTCCACTTATTTCTATTCCTGGATTTTCTGCAATTAGATCACAGCTGAATTTCATTCCTTATTCAGAGCTGCTCACAAGCTCCCCCTCTGCTGTCTTCCTAACAGATTTACTCTATTCATTCCATCTGCATATATTCCATTTGCTCTGTTCCATCCACATATGAACGTAATCCCATCTGCATCCCGTTTCTAAGATCCCTATCGTTGTGTTATCTTACACCAGTAGCACTGCAAACGTTCAGTCTTGCACGTGGTGGCTGCCCCGAGGAGCAGTCCCTGTGCTGGAGGGACTTTCGGGCCGTTTCACAATGTGCAGAATGACCAGATGAGGATGCAAATGGAGACAGAAGCAGAGGGCAAGACGCCTTGTCTTCCGTAAAAGTTGATTTAAGGCAGAGCGAGCCAGGACAGAGGTCCTGAAATTAAACAAATGGCTTGAATGAGCAGAAATAGGAATTTACGGAATCTATGGGGTGCTGCTGAGTTTGGTGAATTAAACAGCTGAGGGGGGTGAAGGCAGTGCTCCTCCTCGGGCACGGAGGGGGGGTGCTCCTCTCTGCGCACCCGCAGCAGCGCACGTGCGGACACGCCGCCGCTCCGTCATGGAGCTGTGCGCTTCCAGAGGGCGGGCGCGGGAGCCGC